CAATCTGCCTAAATATTTACTGCTTTAATGCAGCCTCAATTTATGGGTGTGCATATTGAAATGAGGCAATTATTTTAGATAGCACCTGTTCATTTTTAGCTAGAGAGGCTGTGAAATTACATTTCCTTAAATCATCACTAGATTTGTATGGGTTTAGTACACACCGTAGGCTGGCAGAGGGCAGAGGCAGCAGTAAGGAAGCAAATATCTCTCTTGTCTTTCCATCCTGCTGTCCTGGGGAGGGGGAGGCAGAGTGATGAATTTCACACTCTTGTGAATACTTGATTGGAGTGTTCTGTAAGGTGGATAATATGAATTTCAATGTCTGCAGCTTGTAAAGATCATAGATTGTACCACAGAAATGTAGACTGAGAGGGACCCCTGGAGGTACTGTAGTCCAGCCTCCTGCTCAAAGCAGTGCTAACTTCGTAGCTGAATAAGATTCTCCAGGCCCTTAGTTAAACAGGCTTTGAAAATCACCAGGGATGGAGAATCCACAGCTTCTCTTTAGCAAATTCTTCCTTTTATCATGAAGAATATTTCTTTATAGCTAACTGAATTTTCCGTTACTGCAGTTTCTGACTATTGCCTCCTTTCCTTTCATGGTGCACCTCTGGAACAGGGCTCTGCAAACCCCTTCTAGGCAGGAGAAGACAACAGTTAGCTCTCCCCTTTTGCAAGCATGAAAAAGTCTGTTCCTCCACTGGACTTTTATATTTTTAATACATTTTTTGTGTTGTTTGTGGGACCCAAAACTAGTCTTGGTACTCCAGATGTATCGACATGATACTGAGTAGAAAGAAATAACCGCTTTCTTTGCCTTCTGGCTATGCTATTGCTAATTCAGCTGGGTATGTGGTTTGTCTGCATTGCTGCAAGGGCATCCTGCTGACTCATGTTCCTCTTCTCCCTCAGATCATTTTCTACAGAGCAGCTCTACAGACAGTTTCCAGCCTATTGCAATGCATGAGCTTATTCCCTCCCACATACATGGGTGTGTTTGTCTCTGATACAAGAAAACTTCTGGTTACTCTGGTTTAAGTAGACTCAGAGTTAAATTGCCATATTCTTTAAGAAAGAAAAAAAAATACATCAAAAGTTAGACTGATGTCATTATAAACAATAGTTTAGTTTCTGTTGAGTATTCCATACTTATAAGAATTACAAGTACATCATAGCAAAGAGATTTTTACAGAAAAATGTGTTGAGAGCAATTGATTTTGGCTATCTAGCCAGGCAGTAAAAAGCCCTTGGAGTGTGCAAATTTGTACGGTAAATAGACTATAAGTATTAGGTATTCTGCACATTTGGATGGAATCATCCCATGGCTAAAATACCTCATTTGACGTAAACAACAAATTCTTCCAAAAGGTTGCTACAGGTGTCAAAAAATTAATCCACTGTTAGCACTATTACAAGGGCTTCATTCATTCATTGTTGCCAGTTATCAGGGAAAGATTATGTATATCAAGTGCATTTTTTTTAATTTAACATACTCTGAGGTGGTGGTTATTTTCAAATGTTAGCTGTAGCCACGTCCAAGCATGTAAGTTTTTGGACCTAGAGTTCTTGGACCTCCTCTTCTTGCAGAGGAGGCTCCCTCCTGTTACTGTGTTTCTTGGCAGAATCCTATTATGCAGCCTCCCAGACAGCATCAAAAGAAAGTTATGCTGCTTGGAATTCATATTAACATGATTATTCAGTAATTGAAGCAGGGATTAACAACGTTTTTTTGTTGTTGTTTTTTTGTTGTTGTTTGTTTGTTTTTTTTTAATATTCTTTATCTGCATCCATTTATCTCAGTAGTGAATTTATCATAACTAGACTGACATGTCCTTTGCTTTAAATTAACACAATGGCTTTTGTACTTTGAGATAAGGGTATATTAACAGAGGAGTGAAAAGAAACTAACTTTCTTGGAATATATGACAGTTTTTCAGCTGGTTATTTAAAAACAGATGAGGGCAAAATTCTACCCTGGTTCTGAACTTGCTCTATGATAATTTCAACATGGTGACAAGACTTTCCTCTGTGTGTGTGGAGGGGGAACTGTTTTCATACAGGATATTAGCCCTGAAAGAAATAAGCATTCTATTTAAACATATAGAAGAGGTTTCAAGTCTTCCAGGAAATCTGTTTGAAAACTATTTACAGCATTAGTATGCAAATTATATGCTACACACTAAATGGGAATCGCAGCAGAGCACTCTGACAGCCATCTTGCTATTTGAACTATGGTAGTCCAGTTAAAAAATCAACACAAAAAGAAAACACAGCTGGATGTAATTGTATCCAAACACATACTTATTATGTTAATGGGGGCATGTGAATAAAATAAAATGTTGTCCAGCAAAGGTTTTCTCAAAAAGATGATAAATTATTTTATCGAAACATTCAAATAATGTATTTTTTTACCTTTTGTTTTAATTAAAAACGTTTGAAATTTATTCCTAAAACTTGACAGATGTCAAGTGTGGCAGCACCAGAGAAACAATAAATCCCATCTCACATCAAGTGTCATTTTGATAAATATTCTTCAGTATAGAAGAAAACGTGAATTGTGGCCCAAACTGCATTAGGTACTTTCAGTGATGTAACTTAAATCAAATTATGAGAATGGTATTGTATGGTGGTAATAATATATATCTTAAACTCCTATGTTTAACCCAGGTTGTCAGAGTGGTGATACACCTTTTAACTGTTCTACCTTTTTCACTGAAGCTTCCCGATGCTTCCCTGCCTGTACCTTCCTGCTGCTGCTTTCCTGTCACCTTCCCTTTAGTCACACCTTGTCCATCTTCTGCCCTCTGTCTCAGATGAGTGCCCATGCTGAAGTATGCCATAGCAACTTCAGTCTGAGGGGTTTTAAAGAGCCAGGTCTCAGTAAGAATCCACCAGATGCTGTAGAAGGCCAGTACTGAGTTGGGTCTCTTTCCAACAAGCAAAAGATTTGCACTTGTTTCATTCCTAAAAATCTCCCAGAATTTCTTGTCTTGTCCCTCACATCAGTCTGCAGAGCTCTGACAAGTAAGTCACCTGTTCATACCAATTTACTGATAATAGACTCAAAATCTTTGAAAATAAGAGGCTTCAGATCAGATTTATGACTTTTTATTTTCTTATTTTTGTTCCTTTCCATTTTTAGGACATGCTTTTAACAAACCGTAACTGAAAACTAAGCAAATAACAGTTTGTGCCTTATGTGTCTTCTTCACTGTCAGCTGCCACTGTGATCCTAAAGTAGATGCATTGTTTTCATTTTAAATTTATCTCTCAGTGTAGTTCCCTGTGAAATTGCTTTCTGCCTTTACATTGACCATCATACTGAATTTTTTTTCAACCTGTCATTGTCTTTGATAGTTAGAAGCTATTCTCAGCTTAAAAAAATACCAGTTTTGTTCACAAGCACAAAGTGTACCTTCCCAAATCTAGCCCAATAGGCATGTGAGATGCAGTCTTGAGAATAGAAAGTGCCTATTTTTATTCTTAGTGATGATGAACTGTTTATACTGCAAATGTAATATCATCAAACACACATTTTTAAAATAAAAACTTACTAGTAATTTCAAAATAGCACTCAATTAAAAAGTCAGTCTAGTATTTAAAATGTTTTTCAGAGGCAAAGAACCATTGGCCTATTTAATGAAATGTTGGGGTTTTTTTTGGCTCTGCCTGTGTAAAGAATGTTTAAAATTTTTGTCTCTGAAGATTTACAGCCAGGTCAAGCTTTTTACATTACAATAAAAAGACAAAGCTTGAATCATTAGCGTGATAATAAGTCCAGCTTAGTTGTCTGGCAAGTAAATGCTATACATATAGCTACTCCTATTAAAAAAACACACAACCTACTTTCACTAAAAATCTGCTCCCATTAGAGAGCTGGTTTTGTGCTTCCTGTTCTCAGTGGCAAATGTAATCCCTCTAAAATCGATAGGGAAAATTCACCTGAGAGCATAACACTTATTACTAGTTGTTTCCAGCAAAGGGTGAAGACCACATTTCTGCCCAGAGTTTGTACTTAGAAGTGTCAATGGAAGATGAATTAGGAGAAACTAGAGGACTTGTATCATTTAGGTTGCTACAGAATTGTGAGAATAAGTCCCTGAAGGCCAAATCGGTTGTGTTGTAAGTTGTTCTTTTCAGACTGCCAGTCTTCTGGTTAGGCCACTGAAGCCTAGTTTTGTTTTGCTTTGGGGTATTTTTGGGTTTTTTGTTTGTTTGATTGATTGCAGGTTTTTTAGTTGTGGTTTGTTTTTTCTTTTCTGAAGAAACAAATCCTATTTTGGCACATTATTTTCGGTTTTTTTTTTTTTTTTAAAAAAAGGTCATCTTTTAAAATGTCACCCAAAACCAGACACTCCTGAAGGGAGCCTGGGGTTCACAGGTGAGGTGTGTATTGCACAATTCTATTAGTTTTGTTTCCTTATGTCAACCATGCTTCTTCGAGGGGTAGCTAGAATGCACATAGCATGGATTCCTTGGCAAAACCAAAGCAGAAACGTGTGATTTGTTTGTTATCTTTAGAATATATCTTATTCCGAGTTCATGACTCATGATCTCTAAGCATGCGACCTTCATTATCTCACTCCAAAATTCCCAAATATTACCAATATCAATTTAATTTGAATTAACACCTGTCTGTGTTTTTTCTTATAATATGCATTTGGGTATGTTTTGCTCCTCTGTATATTGCTTTCAGTACTTTCAGCATAAAGATAAGCAGTAAAACTTCTAAAAAACATCATAAGGTACAGCAAACAACAATGAATAGCAAAAGATTCTCTCTTGCAATAAACCAGACAAAATGGTACTTGAGAAGCTTCCTTAGACTATGTTATTTCAGTTTTAGGGACAGTTGCAGGAAGACATCAAGTTATTACATGCCCCCGATTATTTGTTTTCTTAGCCTTACAAATTGAAGAGGAGTATCTCAATGAAAATAGCATGGAGTTCCATTGCAGACTTTATCCTTGTGCTTTCCTTTCTTTTTCTTTTAATAGCCTGGATGCGTAAACACTACAGAAGTGGATATAAAAAAGTCTTCAAGAATGCGAAATCCACATAAAACAAGAAAGGTAAGTACTGTTATGCTGTCAAAAACAAGAGGTGGAGGTAATTTATAATATGAAGTTCCATAGTTTCTTGAAACATGTTTTTTTGCAGCTGCGAAGAACAAACACATGAACATGTTATTTTTTCATAAGCTCTTAAATGAATTAGTATTAACAAATTTGCTAATACTATGTAAATGCTATCACTTAAGAAAGGCTTTAGAAAAATACACAAATTCATTTTTGCATACTTTATTCCTGTTGTTTAGTAGATTGAATAAAGCATATTAAAATGTTAATCTCAGTAATTAGAGGAAAATTAAATTAAAAATGCAGTGTAAACTCTTGACAGCAATTCATCTCGTTCTAGTCCTAATGAAAAGGGTGTCTCTAGTTTACAATTATTGCCCAATTGGATGACCAGAAATTGTAGAGGAAGTTAACTTCATCTAAATTAGAATCCAGACATAAACTGTGTATGTTCTCTAGGGATGTACAGGTGGATTGGAACAACACTTTCTTTCAAATTCTTTCTATCATAATAATGTAGATTGACTCCAGCTTTAAAGTACTTCCTTTGAGGTATATTTTCATGTCAACCCATGGAAAGATACGTTTTGAAACAGAAAGTGTATTTAGAGAAAATTTTAGTTCAGCTTATTTATGGTAGTGAAAGGTCCAAGTAAGTGTAATTTACCAAGCAGTAATTGCAAATTTGGGAGTCATCCAAATAATGCATTGTGAGAGCCTAGCTTTCAGGATACTTTCTTCTTTTCCTACTGGTTACCTCCACTTACTTTAATAGCTGCCTTTCAGCGTCATCCCCAATGTTTACAATGCTGTTAATATAGAGACTCAATAAAAGTAGATCCTCTGTTCCGTGTTGTTATGAAATTGTAGAGTTTGGGGAGCATTTATTTTACATCACAGTAGATAAGCACAATTGTATCAGATTGCTTGGCTTATTTGCAGTTTTGTTAGAAAAATATTGTCTTGGCTAACTTCTTGAGCACACTGTACTGTGCACCCTACTATGGATGTGTAGAAAGCGTTGTCTGAAAGCAACTATAATTGTTCTATATTTTTTGTGTAGTCTGTCTATGGCTTACAAAATGACATTCGAAGTCACAGCCCTACCCACACACCAGTACCAGAGACTAAGCCACCCACAGAAGATGAACTACACCAAGAGGTTTGAACAATAACTACAAACATGTACTTTTTATATGAACTTTATAGGAAAGTAGGTATTAAACCAAGAATTATTATAACTGGGAAGCTGTTCAGAACAGATCTAGAAAACATTTAGTAAATCTTTTCCTTGTTTCAGGATATATGGATCTAGGTATGTAACTTCTATTAAAACTAATGAGTAAAACCTGACAATTTTAGTATCTTGCGTTAAACAGTTAAAGGCAGTAATCAGTAGGGTTCTTTGAATAGCTAAGCCCATTAGCCCCTTTAGCAGTAGACAACTTGCTTTTACTCTCAATGCTGATGTAAGTTTTGGGGGTATACTTACCTCCCTGTGTATGCACGTATGAGTTGACACATTTATCTACTGGTAATGCTTCATTAATCTTTCCTGAAGTGTTAAAATAGGAAGAAGGTAAACGTCTGAAGAATTAGTAGTTCTCTTCAAAAGTCTGAAAAAAGGCTAATTGGATTTCTGTTGATGAACCTTTAGGGAAAATGTTATATCAGGTCTTTCTTTTGTCTCTATATGATTTTTTTTCTCTTTGATGGAAAATTCCATTTATTTTAGAATTACACTGGTGAAATGTTGCTTTAAGTCAGATATATTTCTCCTCTGTGCCCTAGGATAAATTAAGGTTAAATTACAGCCCTAATAAAAAAGTTATGGAAATGGAGTCAAGCAATGAATTACTCATAAAACTCTTTGCCTTCCTTTCTTTCAGATTAAGCACTGGCAAATGCAATTAGACAGACATAGATTAAAAATGTCAAAAGTTGCAGAGAGGTAAGAATATTGTCATATCTTCTGGTTTTTCAATTAGACTGGTAGCTATTGGGAAAATGTCAGTATGAAAAAGGTTCACAGAAAGAGAGACCAGGGAGTTCAGGTGCCACAGAAATAAATGATGAGGGTTTACTTAAAGTGGGAGGTATGATTCTTTTTTTATTGATAAAAGACAGCCCAGATATTCCATGATACATTTCTGATAAGCCCGAGAGTCACTGAAAGGGCCTCTGACCAAGTGGTCACAAATTTCACCTTGCACTGGCAGGGAGGCTAAATGGAAATAGGTCTTGGGTTAGTGTTTGGATATTTCAGAAGGGCAGTCACTAAGAAAGCAAGAGAACTGATGGGCAGAGCTGGCTGGGTGAGGAGCTCAGTGCTTGAACAAAGTGAGTCTGAGCTTACTTTGGGTCAGAGGATGTAATGCTACTCTCCTAATAGGACCACAGTTTGTCAGGAAGGGGCTATAAAGCAAATAACAAACAAAAACTCAGAAAGATTAACTACAGCTTAGGTGGAGAAGAGGTAGAGAAAAAGAATGCTCTATCTTACATCAAATACAAAGATAGCAAAATTGCAGAAAATTGATCAGCATAAGACTTAGTAAAGGAAATTAAGCAAAATGCAAATGGTTCTTCATCCTCCTATATATGTTTGTGCATGTGTTTCTAATAATATATGTATGCATGCATGTACAAACATATAAATATATATTTATAAAGTGAACAGTTTAGAATTTGTGTTTACTGAATAGTAAAAATTGAAGATTAAATGTAAGTATGAATGAAAAGAAAGAATATTTGTCTTAGCTTGTCAATAATTTTCAATAACTATGAGGCAAAAGGAAACAAAAAGTGGGAATAAGGCCATGAGAGATGTAAATTGCCAGAATACAAGCAGTTTTTACTGTATTCAACTGTTGTCAGATCAATTCATGAATACTGAATAATTTGGAAAAAAATGTTTTTTTGAAAAGCAATAAATTTGGGAGTAATGCCATTTGATGGGAAAAAATAAAAATATTGACTGTATTTAAAAGAGGAAGAAAGGAGTCCTAGCAGCTGCAGGGCCAATAAATACAGCCTTGATAGCATGCAGTGTTTTAGAACACATTTTAAAGGAACTGATGGTTAAAACTGTAGGGGTACAAAATATGTTGCTTTATGAAAACAAATATGCATAGAAGAGTTTGCTTGATTTAATATATGAATGCCTAAAGGAGACCTAAAAAGGAGCTATGTGGAAGTATTAGGGAATTGTAGTTTGTTTTATTTCAGCACTTGATAAGTCCTGAGCCACCTCTCCTTCTTCGGGGTTCCAATTTTAAAAAGGCTTGAGCAAACCTATTTTAGCCTGAGCCTTGTAGCTGACTTTTGAGTGTCAGCACACCCGATTACCATGGTTCAGTTGATGTTAACTGGGGTAACCTGATCAGGTTTCCTCACCTGCTGACCTGACAACCTTTGATGCTTTTGTTTTCCTAGTCTATTAGCTTATACAGAGCAGTACTTGGAATATGATCCTTTCCTTGTGCCCCCTGATCCCTCAAACCCTTGGATATCAGATGACACCACTTTCTGGGAACTGGAGGCAAGGTATATAATTTTTTTTTTTTTTTTCTTTGGGGGGGGGAGGGGATAAGGGAACATAACAGGATTTTCTTGAACAGTGAAAATTTCAGACAGTCGTGTTGCAGGAAAATACTGATGCAGAAGGGCAATACAGTATCCTTTTGGTCTTTCCAGGTTTACAGTTTCCTAAGATTGGAAGAGCTATGGATTATTAAATCTGTGTAAAAAGTTACAGTAACCAGCTCCCAGGTTCCCACGGGGGGAAAAAGTCCCATGTTTTAAGTATTTCCTACTTGAAATTCCTTATTCTTTTGTGCAAATGTATGTGTGTTACCTTCATCCTGTGTAAGTACTAAGAGCCTGGTTACTCATCTCTGAATGTTGCACAGATATGAGCAATCTGGAAGCTGAGAAGTCTGTTGATGAACATTAGGACTTAGTCTAAATTATGAACACAGAGTATTGGAATACTGAAGTATTGTTTACTGTGGGTTCTGTTGTTTTTCCTTCTGTAGCAAAGAGCCAGGACAGCAGAGGGTGAAACGATGGGGGTTTGGCATGGATGAAGCTTTGAAAGACCCCGTTGGAAGAGAGCAGTTTCTCAAATTTCTGGAGTCAGAATTCAGTTCAGAAAATTTAAGGTAAATAAGAGGGACTATATTTTTTTAATAGCCTGTAAGATACATTGGGGAGGTTTTCTGTCTGATACCTTTCTTTTCATTTTTTGACCCCTTCAAATATTTTTCCATTTCCTACATTTCAGAATCCATTCATGCAGATTGCTACCCGCTCCCATGTTCAGGCTGAGGGGAAAAATGTATATAGTTAGCAGAGACTCACATGAAGCATATTTTCCCATTCATGTCCGACATTTGGTCAAACTACCCATGTAAGAGCTTTTCTCTTGGCTCATTTTATTAAATGGGTTGAAACCATTGACTTATTCAAAGCTTGTTCAGTATATTTTATTAAGGCAGTCAAACGTTAAGAGAACTGTAAAATTTAAAAAGCTGAATTGTTAAAAAAAAAAAAATCACATACTTTCACTGTTGGCCGGGTTTCTGGGGATCATTGGTCTTTTGAAAATCTCCACCAAGATTCTAGTACTCATGATCTGACACAAAAGTAGCGTGACAGCTAGCTCTGAAATTCCTCACTAATTGCAAAATGGAAATGTACTGCTAATGTATGATGCTTAAATAAACAGGTTTTTTTTTATGCATATATACAGAATGACTTTTAAATGAGGGAGAACAATTATCTCATTTTAAAATATTATAATCCATCCATTGACTAATAGCATGGTTTGTTGTTGCTGTTCTAAGGTAGTAATATTTTGGTAAAAATTGTTTCAGAGGGATTAATAACAGGCTTTCTATAAATAAGTCAAACTGTACATAGTACAAAAGCATGTACAAAATATTTTTCTTTTTTCCACCTTCTTGTCAGATGTCCTCTGTATAACATTTGGTTTTTTACCAGCAACATAAGCATTATAAAAACCTATTTGCACACAATCTAGAACTCAGAAAGACCCTACTTTTTTTTTTTTTCTGTGCCAGTTCTCTCTCTGAAGTGGTACAGCATAACTATTCATATTAGACTACACTTATGTAGCATCTTACAAGAGGTATTTAGCATTTGATTCAAAAATTCTGATTAATTGCACAGACCTTGTTGTTAAGTTTGTCAGCAGAAGAATTGGAGATGGACTTTGCTGAAAATGTTCATATTCAAACATTCAAGTTTGCGTCACAAAGGTATATTAGATACTCTAGAGTTTATGATATTTTTCAACTGATTTGTTTGCCGTTACACACATGGAAATATGGCCTGACCTGTACATGTATGTTGATAACTTCTTTGGTGCCAGATGATTTTTAAAATTAAAAATTCCAAGTGGTAAAATGATTTTTTTTTAATTAGGATAATACCAAGAAAGGGAAAGCTAACTTTTTTTTTTTTTTTTTTAAAGAGTATCCTGGTAATTTCTTATGCAGAGCAGCTGTTGAAACATTAACCTAACCAGCCCAGTATGTGCTGCATTTTCTATGTTTCTCTGTGATTGATTTGTTTCTCTGCCAACTAAGCTGTTACCCACATAATCCCTAGCTCTTTCTTCTAATTTTATTTACAACACTAACCACAGGCAAACTGCAAGTGACTTGATCCAGAAAAATTCCCTAGAGAAATTTGTTCAGAGCTCATTCCTTGATATGCTATCTACTCTTCTCTCTAAATTCTTATATTTGCATTATAAAATATAATATCTGAGTAATGGTGAATATGAGCTTAAAGGCTGTCCCTGGGAAGGATCAGGCAGATCAAACTTGCACTGAGAAGTTGCTTTCTGGGATTATTAACTGAAGGAGAATTGTCTCACAAGCTCAGAACGATGTTTATGAATTCTCAAACTGCAAAGAAATCAATCTGCCATTAGGCTCACACAGTAAAGTCAGGCTAGGAAGCATAAAATTGTAAAGCTTGTTGTGTATGAGAGTCAAAACGTTATAGATCTCTGTAACAGAAGTTAAAAGCTTGATAGTTTCAAGCTTTTAACTAAAGCACCCTAAATTGAAAAGACCACTGATTTCTTTGTTCACCTGTTAACCCCACTGTGGCAACCTGTGTTTTTGGGGGTGTTGATAGCCATCTTGAAAGAAATACTTACTTCTGCCCACCTCTTCCCACTGTAACAAAGTGAACTCAACTTAGTAGCTGGCTCTTGTCCTTTTACAGATCTAATAATGATAGACTGTATAACAAGCACCAACAAACCTACAGTGGGATATACAGCTGGGACTTGAATTCAAGCTACCAAGCACAGTATGTGGGATACATCAGGGGACTGCAGACGCTAGAGAGATTCAGTATAAGTTGATTAGAAGTCTTACACCTCTCTTTGGTGAAAGAAATACCAAAAAATGTGAAACGAGAGGCCTACCAGATATGCTGTTTCTGTTCAAGCGTGATTATTTTATTTAGCTAAGAGTCCCAGTGTTGCTGTTTCATTAACTTGGACTGAGCATGTCTAAGCTGGCTGCGAATCTCATTCTTAGTGGATTATAGATCCTGTCTTAAGAAACAGATGAAGGAACTTGAGCTGTGAGTTAAAACTAAGCACTCTGGAATGATTAGGAATGCAACCAGGTTTCACCTTCTTACTCTGTATCTCTGCTTTTTTACTTTGCCTGCAAATTGAGTATAATAGTATTTCGCTCTGTAAAGGGGTGTTGTAAACCATAAAAAAGAAATGAAACTAAGCAGTTCTGTCAGTGCAGTAGCTTCAGTACAGTGTGATTGCAGTTTGTTGACACCCAAGCTGGATTCTGCATTCATCTAATTCAGGCGATGACTTCTAATTTCTTGCTACCATGCAGATTTTTTTAAGGGATTGCTTTGCATGCTGCTCACTACATAGAACAAATAGCTAAAGTAACATATGATTTGGATAATAAATGTATAAGAGTCCCACTGACTATTATGAAAATGGTGATTGCTGTTTAAAATCCATGAGACTTAAATTTGAGTGTGATTCAATGAGCTTGGTCGCAAGGCTGTTCAAGCACTGAAAGAAGAATTTTCAAAGAGACTGATATAGTGAAATGAATCTTACTGCAATGTAGAACCTGGAGACCTAATTTCTTTCACCCTTGTAGAAAATCCCCATTTGTCTCCATATCCTTCCTTTGTCTGTACTGCTGCAAAAATTCTTTGGAAAGTTAATATTCGTATGCTGACTGTACATTTGCTCCCAACTGGCTGTTTTGTAGCAATTGCAGCCTGTAAAGATCTACATGGTTTCAGGCCAGCTAACCTGAAAGCCTGTCCAAGTCATTATGCAGGATTGCAGTAGGTGTGATCTCCAAGGCAGCAGTAAGAATGCAAAAGCCTCCCAGGTTAGTGAAAGGGGGAGTGGTGACATCTGCCAGGATGCACAGAAGGAAAAGCTGCTGGACACCTTGCCCCTTCCTTTGATCCTCATTTATTAGCTTCCATAATGTGTGAGTAAATAGGGAAAAGGGGCTTTGAGATTCAGTTGTCCAGAAAAAGAAAAGAGGGACTAAGGAGTTAGCTAGATTTAGATGTTTTCTCTTGATAAATTTTCTCTGACCATCCCCCTGCAAGCTGAGATTTTGTGAGGTGTTTATTTTGGATGCATCCACATAAGTTGTAGAAACATTCTGTACTGAGATAAAGGCTTCGGTTATGTCCTGTAGGAAAAATAAATAGAACCTCACATACACACTTCTAAAAATATGCAGTGTTGCCTACAAAATGTTTCAGTAATAGTGCTTAATTATATGTTTAACTTACTGCAGTGGTTCTGTTTATCCTTTTAATAACAATATAACAATGCTTTTACTAGAGAAGGAGGAAAATGGTGCAAGAGGTTGTTTTTTCCTTTTCAGTCCAGTCTATTTCACTTCCAATGTTTTGCTCTTTATTACTGATTACCACTCTTGATGACTCAAAATGCAAGACATTTCTTTCTTCACTGATGGTGGAAGAGAGACTTCTGCATGTTACGAAGTGTGAAGTTTGATCAACTGTACTTGATGTCTGTCCTGCAAGTCTGCACAGAAGTGTTGTTGATGACACTTTCCCATACAGTATGGGCACTGGTATTGTTTATTTTTCACACTGTTTATTATGATACTCTGTTTTTGGTGCTAATAACTTGACCAAAATTTAATCCTCAGGGCTTAAGTTGCCTGTGCTTTATTTCTCATTTAGACTCAAGCTTAAACTCTTAAGTCCCAGAAATGTTGCCATTTCTGCAGATTAGATGGGAAGGAACAAGTTGCAAGATTTAATGGTTTTCTCTGCCATTTACTTGAAGACCTTCAGCCCTACTATGTCTTGAAGCTTGAAGTTGTACTTTGCAAGAAGATGGACTCTAGGAGTCAGAGTGTAGTCTTTCCTGTCCCTAGAAAAATGGCAGCTGATATTCTTCATGAAGCTTCTTAAAGTTTTTGCTTGCTTTTACTGAAAAGTCTGTCTTCCAACCTGTTGTGTTACATGCACTGGATGCAAAGCTCACTTCATGGTCTCCACACTCTGCCTAAACCTCAAAAGTTTTGTGGAGAATCAGTGCAGCCTTTCTCTCACTCTGTATTCCTGTGTGCTAAATGTGACTGATTAGCTCGATCTGGGATCTGCTGATAGCTGCATCTGACATGTAGGTCAGTTAACAGGACAGAAGCTGTGTTGCAGCTGTGCTGTTTATCTGGCAAGGCCACCCTCACTTTGAAAGTAATCCAGATGGAGGACATAATCCCCAGATGTCTTGCAACATGTGTCTTACCATATCATGTGGCTGGATATATGACTACCATGTGCTATACACTCTCAATCAGCTACACATCTAGCACGTGATCCAGTGTGTGGCAACCCAAATACTGGGACAGAAGACAGCAACAAGGTTTACACTCAGCTACTCAGGTCTCTGTTCAAATGGTACTGAGCATCTTCCAGGGAGGGTCATCATGGCGTAGGCAGATCTCCACCAAGAGATACAGTGTTTCACCTAAGGGCAGAGAGAGACTAAGGAGAGACTAAGTTCCTTCCATGAAATAGCTCTGAGTCTGCATATATGAGTGTTCAGAAAATGCATCTGGATTCCCCCTCTCCGCTCTCTTGCCCTTGTACACATTCACTGTTGCACACTGCATGCTGTTTGCTACAGGAGTCTGCCCTTGCTCTGGTCACAGCTCATGAGGCAGAGAGCTGTAAAAGGGGACAGGGAGCTCTGTAGACTTAAAGCCCTGTGCTGGTCTTGCAGACACCATTTCAACTTCATCTGTGCTATTGGTTGCCATGGGATATTTGATAAGTTATTTTTGAAAATGTAAGAGGTAGCAGCCTTATTTTTGGCATTTCCTAGCTTCACATATTTGACTTTAAATCTCTGTGGGAGGAGGGCAGGCATTTTTTTCTCGTAAGTAGATTAAAATTTTAAAATGCATATTGGCTGTGAAGTAAACGCCCTGGACATAACATACCACAGAAATCAGCATTTTCTTCCCACTTTTACAGAGGTCTGTATATTTAGAACCTCACATTTTCAATAGGGCTTTTGAATGCCAATGTTAGAAGGGTAAAATAAAATTAATCTATCAGAGAGCTGGTGTTCAGCCTGTAAAGATATATCTATATAACTTGCCTATTCTATGCTGGATGCTGAATTTTTCCTCTAAGCAGTTAATTTTATCTCCCATCTATTTCCCTGTAGTTGAGTTACCTACCGTATGGAAATAGTTTACTTGCAAAACAAAGAGAATCCTGAGGCATGTTTGTGGTGACTTCCAGAAGTATTGGCAGTCATATAATGGAACAAACAAGAATGTGACAGCTTTGAGCTAGATCCTCAGGATGTCTGCAGGGTGACAGAAAATGTGTGTTTACAAAGAACATCCTTCCCTTTCATTTTTCTATTCCATACCTGATTTTGATACACATGAGTAATCAGTCAGTCCCAGAAGATGCACTTGAAGGGTTTAGCACTGCAGGATATACACTTTTAAATGCAAATATCAAAAGCAGCTTAAGGAAACCAAAGTAGGTTGCCCAAATTTGACAGAGTGAATTGAACTAGAGTTTGAAAGCTGTGCAGTTTTTAAACTTGAGTTATGAGGCCTCTATTTTTACTACATTGCCATCAGATTCTCAGGATACTTTCCCAGGCCCTGTACAGTTCTATGTCCAATTCACATAACAGATTATGGAGATAAGTGATGCTACACAGAATTTTTGAAACTTAAGTTCTTCTGTTGGCACAGACTCCCCTTCTGACCTTGGAGAAACCATTTTACATTTTTATCTTATTAATATATTTGTAAAACTGGGACAATATTACTTCTCTGTCTCTTGGAGAATCTTAAGGGATCAATAGACAGAAAGAATGTGCTTTGATACTATGAAAATTGGAAGGTGTGGAAATACCTAAAGCAGTCATCTCAGTTGAATGAAGCTGTCCATGATGGCTTGTGAGCAATGACCTCCTTCCAACTGTGCTACAAAGGAGTTTCAGAACAGGACTATGAAGGACTAATTGCCTCCTGAAAGGTAAATCATCTCAAGTGAAGAGTTTCTCATAGGAGGAATGCTGTAATGTTTTCTCTGCTATAAGAGTTTTTCTCCTCTCATAAGAGTTGCTGCAATAACTATATTAGAAATTAGTTTGAGTGGTATCATTTTGCTTTCTTGTGTGGTCTGAGTACAGTTCCACTGTTGCTCTCTTATATGCCATCCTTGTTTAACTAAGCTGAAGGAGCTCAGTTTGATCTCACAGTGTAATCCAGGTGGAACCACAAATTAAAGGTGCACACAAATTATTCATCAGCCATGTAAAATCCAACTTATTTAACAGTTAACTCACTTCAAGATTCAGCTTATCAGTTTTGTAGGATCAGCTGTGTCAAAGCAATAACGAAAAGTCAAGATAGTATATATTGCTTATTTAACAAATTCAAGCTTTAGTTGAGCTCTTAGGGGAGGGGGAGAACTAAGTGGTCTGCACAATATCTAAGCATGGGATCCTAGCTGATTTTAGAAGTATTTTGTGCAGTGAGAGACTCTGAACACTCTTAGAGGACATAATAGTAAATCAATCATAACAGCAAATGAAAACTCATTATAGATCACTAGCTGTGATCACAAAGTGCTCAAGACCTTTTTTAGTGATCCTGCTTCAGAGTCAGTAAGAAGGATGCAATGTACTGGGCTGCACTGTATGTCACTGCCTAATGTTGGTTTGCTCAGCAGCAGAATCGACGATAGAATGGCTATGTCCATTTGCCATTTTAGTAAAATTATGACTAGAAATGCAATGCTGAAGAAATAAATTCAATTCCAGAGAGCAAAACAAATGTTTTTTTTCCAGTTTATATATCCTTTTTGGAGTAGTTAACAAAATTACATTTAGAATTTAGCAGGACTCAGATTCCTGAAGATATCAAGAACATAAGTTCTTATCAGCTTTTGAAGGAATGTCAAAAAGCAATAGGTTTATATGTGATGTAAGCCCTTGTGGTTCAGGTGAAATGAAATCTCAGTTTAATTCCAGTTAAATGGAAACCTTCCCATAAGCAAGTTACCAATGCATCAGTAATGAAGGATTTCCCACCTGTCTCATGAAGAGGCTTATAGTAATCGCTTCTTAAGGTGGATTGATTGCCTGAGACAGTATCCCAGAATGCTGACCTCAACATAAAATCACATTTTTTTCTTATTTTACCATGTTTTAGATGAAACTTTCGGTTACTTTTTTTTTTTTTTTTTTTTTTTTTTTTTTAAGAGCAAAGAAGAGCATGAGCACTTCATTAATGATTATTCTGAACTGGAAGTCAAGATGCTGTATTGTGCCATAGGTTCTGGTTAGCAGTAGAAGACCTGAAGAAGAGGCCTATCCGTGAAGTTCCTGCTCGCGTCCAGGAAATCTGGCAAGAATTTCTTGCTCCAGGGGCACCCAGCGCTATCAATCTAGATTCAAAAAGTTACGACAAAACCACGCAGAATGTAAAGGACCCTGGCAGATACACATTTGAAGATGCTCAGGTCAGTTTTCAGTCCTGTTAAGGGATAGGTGAACTGGAATATTAATTAATGAAACTTATATTAAAAGATAAGATATATATTGGAATTAAATGGTAATGCTCTGTTTCCTAAAATGTCATTTTGACAATACAGATGGGTAGCAGTCTCTTTCAGGAGGCCTGTGGATTGCAAAAGCTCTTAATGCAACTTCTGTGCCTGATCTAGAGTCTTTAAGTGGACTTCAAACAGAGCAAAGCATGTAGTGCAGTGAAAATGATATTTCCATGTTCCTGTTTTCCTATTTTTCTTATTCAGTTATATTAAGAGAAAAGCTTCCCCCCTACACACATTGATTTCTAGTTCTCAAGATCTATCTCTGAAAGACTTCCCTTGATGCAGGCTCAGTGTCTGTTCTCTCAGTGCATGTCCAAAAGTGTTCTTATTATTTTTAGGAGCCATAGGTTTCCATCATGAAAAGAATAAGACCCATGTAATAAATAATAATAAAATGTAAGAATATCATCTGTTTTTCAATAATCAATATTACAGCAGTAAGGAACAGTCTGAAAATGCCTTATCTGGACTTTGGTAGTCTGATTTAGTCACAGTTTCAACACCATTATCAAATGATACATTTTACCAGAGCTAGATTTGTGAAAATGCTATATTTTTGAGGTTGGCAGTATAAGTTAAAAAAAAAAAAAAGTAAAATAGAAATATTGGTTTTCATCAGAAGAAAAACTAAGTAATTCTGTGTTAAATGCGACACTTCATGTGACTTATAACTTAATATTTCATCTTTACAGACTTCTGAGAAAAGCAATAGAAAAGAATTGGCTTTACAGTAAAAGTACTAGCACCAGTATCATCGTCCTTTTTTCATCAGCAGCCCAGTGATGAAAATTTAATTATTAATGCAAAGTGAAATGGTGTCAAAAGGAGAGACTGAGATCATATCCCTGCAGAATTTCCTACAGCTTGATTATTAGGTCATCATCTTGAGATTCAGGAGATGCTACTGCAAGTCCCACAAAAGAGACAAGGGAATTGAATTAGGACTGTCTATTTTTTTGGAAAGTGCCTCTGCCCTAAATAGGAGGGGGTATAATTCTATCACCTTTTCACTTTATTATTATAAGAATAGCAACCTATGATGCATCAAAAAAGTTTTAATTAGACCTTATATCATACCCAGTGTTTTGAAATGCTCTACATTAAGCCAAATGCAGTTTTTGCTTGCATCTGCTGATGTCCTGGTGATTTAGGAATGCAGCATATAGCAAAGACGTAAATTACACAACTAAATAATCTAACAAGATTAAATGTTTTTTTTTTAAAAAGTCTGCCATTGAGTCACAAAAGGACAATTAAGTTTCTTGCCAGTATCTGTTTGTTTTTTTTTTTTAAAAAAGAAAGTATAAAATTTCACCATTATTTTGCTTCCAGATGTCTCTCCTTTTTTTTTTTTTTTTCCCCTTTCATTTATGAAAGACATGGAGTATTGATTCTTTATGCAAGTAGGACTTTCCCTCCTGACAGAACTCTGCTTATTTGATCCAGCTAAGTATACAGCTTGAACCTGGGAGCCTCCATTTCTCTGGGAAAAGGGGACAGAATGTACCTGCCCTGTTCTGACTTGAACCTTTAGGACCTTTACAGAGTGCCCCACCTCAAGTGGCAGAGTTTTGTCAGGAGCAGGGCTCTGCCTCTTCAAACAGGCTCTTTATGGCTTGCCAGTTGGGAAAGAGATCACTTACAAGTCAGTCTGGCAGTTGGCATGTCATTTAATTGTGGTTAAAAATGTTTTGAAAAGCATTGTGGACTAGAAAGGTGGCACCGCAGAACTCCATGTCAAATGAGAGTGACACGTAAGTAAAAATAGACCCATTGTGCTAAATAACATCCAGCCTCAATTTCGAACTAGTGGGTACATAAACAGTACTAATACAACATAATTTATTCTTACTTTTACATAGGTGTTTTTTGCACAGAAGTAACATTTTAGTGCCCATCACCATTAATAAGTTCAACAAGAGCAGAGTCCCCGCTCTCTGTTGGATACATCGTCTGCTTTTGTAGAAACTGAATGGAATAAAAACTCCCAAAATGAACCAGCCTATGTTCTGAATATCCACCAGAACTTCTCTGTTTAGTGCAAGAAACACAACGAAAGGCACTTAGAATAATTTCTAGCATTTCTAATAAAAAAATTTAAAACCAGCTTTAATTTTACCTTGCCATAATTTTCAAGGCAGTGTGTGTTTGTTTGTTTTTGTGTGTGTTTTTTTTTCCTACTCACTAATTTTATTCAGTACCAAGCTGAGAAACAGTATTTAATTTACAGTTTATTTGCTGTTTCCTGATTGCTGTGCTACAAGTTTCTTATAGCAAGAGGTAGGGTTTGAGTAAAAAAAAAATAAAAATTCAAAAAAGCTAATACCATTCAGTGGTTCTTCTAAAAATATTTTTGAGAGTATTTCCTATTCCAATTACTTTTTCTACCTATCTCTTTTCTAACATTAGAACTAGAATTAGAAAGTGTTCTACATCATAGATTTTTAGGTTTTCATATTTTACAAAAATGAGAATGCTCAAAAAAAGAAAAGCTCTATAAGCTGTCTGTGTAATTTGTTTTCTGGATAAGGGTTTCCAAATTTTCATATGCCTCCAAACAATAAATATCTTGGAAACAGGATTAGCCTGGAACTGTTTTTCAATTTGCATATGAATTTTCCTTTTTATATTGTCAGCTGGATAGCAGACTAAACATCTATCAAAGGATGTTTTCAAGAGTAGCCAGGAGATACTCTCCCTCATTTAAGTACTTTGTGGTACTGAATTAGAAATCTAGTACCTTTTCCTAGCCTATGAAGTCAGAAAAGCATCTCCAGAAACTAATTCATAAAATCCGATGAGGAAGGATCCACAGCTCCTGATTTAGTCACTTAGCTAAAACTGACTAACGTAAGGGAGGTTTGAAATCAGGCCTTAAGCGAGGACTCAGTTGTAAATTCATAGGAAAATAATTCTGTAGTAGAAACACAGACTATAAATTAAAGAAAGGTGTGCTGTGTTCTTTATGCATAACACATAGATGAGATTTCTGCTTTAAGAATAGAGAGCAATTGAGATTTAGATTCAGAACTGCAACCTGCTATCCCATAAGACTTCCTATTCAACATAATGCTACCTGGTCTGTGTTCCACAAGCATAACATATATGACTGCCTTTTATTTTACATATGTTTTCTTTTATGGGGGTAACAGCTCCTTCTTTCCCTTTCAGGAGCACATTTACAAACTGATGAAAAGTGATTCTTATCCTCGTTTTATACGATCCAGTGCCTACCAGGAGCTGCTACAGGCCAAGAAAAAGGTATTGGTCCATCTTGCCTTTGTCTTGCCACTGTGCAAAGCGGTGGTTATGTTTGCAACAATACTCAGTCTTCTCTCCCCTGTGCCAGTGCAACTGGATATCTGGTAGGTGACCAGCTTGGCGTGTTTGGAGGGTCACATACACACAGGAGTTCAATATACATATATGTGTATATATCCTGCATGCGGGCATGTCTCAATAAGTTAACCTAGCAAAACTTATTTTTATTTTTACATCCCATATTGTACTGTTTTCTCTGTTATGAAGCACCTTAAATTGCAAAGTGCTTTACAAATACATTAAAAAAATAAAATAAAATCCCAGAAGAATAGTCTTTCATGTTTGCAAGTTTGCTTATGTAATAATTGTTGTTCTCTTTATTCCACCTGTAACAGCTACAAACTGTGTTTAGAAACAATATTATCCATATGAATAACTTCCAGTTTCAACTATAAATATAGGGGCTTCTTAATTCTGCTTCTTTCACTATTATTACATGAATAGTTTTTGAGTAGGCTAGGAATCCGACTTGAAAGACTGATCATGTCACACTTCGGCAAATAAGAGGCTCATGTCTTGATATGCAATATTTCCTTAGAAAAGTCCAGATTATGGAATGAATTATGAATAGATAGTCCAGAGTATGTGGAGCAGCTTGTGCAATGCAGATTTCTATAATGATAAATAATTTTATTAGTGGGCTCTACATAGTAATCTCCTAGAATTGGCTGGGAGCCCTGTGCCTTGCAAAATTAGGGCCCCAGTCGTTACCAGAACAAGGCACTTATTAGCACCGTACCATTCCATTGTTTATAATGACAACCTAAAGTTATATGAAAGTGCTGTGTGATTTTGTTTTTTTGTTCAAACATTGATTTCTGAAGATCCAATATAGAGAGATGTTGAAAATACCAGAAAGCTACAACTGTCCGTGTGAAGTCCTTTAAGTTTCTGAATGTCAGTTCATTAACATAAGATGTGCAATTCATTATTCTTTTTATTTTCAGTTTTTCTTTTAAAACAATTTTTGTCCCCATGAAAAACTATTTTTTTCAAATACTATATCTGCTTTGCCCATCCCCTGCCACTGTTTTACAGTCCCATTACAGCTTCATACCTGTGTTTGCTTCCTGATTTATACAAACTTTGTTTTGCAGTTCATTGTTTCATCAATCCTTCTTTTCTACTCCATTTTTTCTTGCTTTTTTTTTCTGTTCCTCCTTCTTCCTTTCTGTTTCGTTTGTTTGTTTGTTTGTTTTTGTTTAAATTTAAGTTGGAAAACACTCTGGATCGTCGAACATCTTTTGAGAAATTCACTCGCAATGTGGTAAGTTTGTTGCCTCGGAAGACAACTAAACCTGATGGGACATCCTTCTCCCTTCCCCCTCACTGATCCTTACTTTCCCTTTTTGCTTCTCTAACCAGACAATTAAAAGTATCTTTATCAGAGTTTGTGAATTTTCCTAGGAATGACAACTTTATAATGTGCTTTCATTACAACCCCTCCTCCCTAGTCCCTTTCCCAATGACCTCAATAGTCACACATGGAGGAATGGACCTTTTGGAGCCATGCATTAGGAAGCATGAATTCATTCACTTTTTTTTTATTATTATTTTATTTTTTTTCCTCTCTTAAATTGTAGTAAAGAATTTGTGAAAACCTGCTTGATGTTTTTTTCTGATGCCTCCCAAAAAGTCTAACATGGTTTGAATACATTGGATTTCCATCTTGTCTTCATTTTATAAAAAAAAAAAAAAAAAAAAATAGTTCTCTTTTTTTTGTAATTTCACACAAGAAAAAATAAACAGTAATAATTTCCCTGTCTTCCTTGATATCTAGCACAGCTTCTTCAGGACCAAATAAATCATGCTGTTGATGTGCAAGGGTTTGATTAGGATTGCATTTTGATAATGGACTACAAGAACTGACTATTTTTTTTTTAATATATAATTTTCAAAAGCTATTTCATGAAGGTAAAAAACATGAAAGCTGGTCAATTTGCTGTGGGCATCCTCTTGCCACCTGTCAAAAGATCCACTGATTTCCTAATATGTGGGATTCTTTTTACTTATCCAATTTCTTTGGATTTTCTTTTTTTAACATTGTGAACGTTCAAACTAAAGCATTCAACGTATTTATTTTTGTAGGGCAGAAACATCCCTATTTTCCCATGCCATAAAAACTGTACACCAACACTGAGAGCGAGCACTAACCTGTTATGAAAAGAGGTAGAAAGATCTTGGTTTATACTCAAGTTTGTCTGCATTGTCTGTTGAATTGTGCAGGTGACGCTGCTGTGTGTGTGTGTGTGTGTGCGTGTCCGTGGCTTTTTCTGTGACTTGGTTAGTGGAGCTGTGTGTGTTGAAATGAAAAATATGAGAGCTTTCAGCAAAGATCATGGTTTTTGTTTTTTAGTTTCTAGGGAAGGAGCAGCAGTTCTCAGAAACTGCCTCCTGTATAATAAGTCTCAAGAGTATTTCCTCAAGTATTTAAAAAAATATATATACATACTTCCTAGTAGTCAAAAAGAGAAACAAATGCAGTGAAAGAACAAAGTTTTGTGAGGCGGTGGGAATATCTCACATGTTAAAACAAAACTGTAATTCTTTAACCACTTTCTTATAGGTAAAGGCTTCCTGTAATATGCTTTGAATCCACTGTAATCAGGAAGAAATTTGGATTCAATGGGACAAAGTCAGTAAAGGACACTAAAAAAGTAAATAAACAGCCACAAAGGAAACTATCTCAATGTTTGAAACAAAAACCCCTATATTTTGCATGGTGGTGTTGCCATAGCATGTTGCAGTGTGATTTGTGTGTTGTCTAAGCAGGTTATCTATAAAACATTGTACATGATACTTTATACCTGATAATTACATGATCATTCCATAGCAAGTTCCATATTAATAAAAGAGCCTATGTTAATAAAAGACAGTGTGGGGAGCAGGTAGTGCAGCTTGGGGCCTCTGAGAGCCAAGCTTTTCCCCAGCCCCAGTACCTGGCAAGCAAGAATAACCACTTTTGTTCATGGGAGTTTAAACAGTTTACAAATCAGGGACTGGTTGTGGTAAAGAGATGTGAAGAGGTGGCTGTAAGGAGAGAAACAGCAAGTTGCAGACAGGTATGACAAGAATACAGCACAAAAAGGGACAAAGTGAAGACGGACTGTGAGGCACTGAGATGACTCTCTGATAATCCCTCTCAGAGAAACGTTGCTGATAAACCAGCAGTTCTGTGCACGCACACTGGAGTGTTACGCCCTGCAGGCGTGGCCGATTTTCATCCTGCTATCTCAGGGCAGAAGTACCAGAACAGCAGGATGCCAGGGATGCAAGGCAGGCTCAGTAAACCAGCTTTGAGCTAGAAATGCAAACAACATTTCTGGATTTGACGTGCCAGTATTTTTTCAGTAGAAGGGGGCAATACTTTTTTCATGGAGCACACCATAAAATAAAAACTGTGGGTTTGCTTTTCCTCAAACTACTACCTGTGAATCCATGTGGAGTCTGTCAAGTCAGGTCAGGTATGAAAGTAAAGCATATCACTTCTAGATCTATATTCTCTGGTAGATCAGTAGTTCTGAGTCTTGAAAATTAATCCAGGATGTCAGTATGCTCAAGTGCAGACCTTTTTCTCCAAGATGACTGAATTCACATTGCCCGCTGCCCCAGGGCCCCTTGCCACCAGGCATCCTTGTTCTTCTGTTCTCATTCTTGGCTATGATGAGTTTATAATATGTAATTATGTACCTTGGTACAGTGGTTCCAGCCAGCAGGGATGAGGGAAACATTTCTCAGAATATTCTACAGTGTACTGATTAACCTGTTCAGCTGTGGAGAGGATTGTGGTATAGATCTGTTCTGATTAATACAGAAAATAGAGGTGAAACAGGCCCTCTACAATCTGGATAAATTCTGTTTATGTTTACTGAATCTGAATGATTTAGTAAGATATAAATTACAGTTTCTTTTCTGATGGTTTAGAAAAACTAGACTTATTTTCATATTTTTTTTTTCTTTTCACTTTTATCAAAGTGGGTTTGTATTGAACTAAATTAGGCCTCATTTTTTTTTTCGATTTGAGTTTAAAAAGAAACCAAAAACCAGTAACCTTGGTTGTGTTTAGGGACTGAACCTGAGAAGATGACCTTGTAATTCATAACCTAATTTGTTGAAGTGGAGAATGTAAGAGGCTCCTTGATCAGTGATAATTGAAAGCATTTATTAAACTAGAAAGTTTAGAAAATTTTTAGTGCAAGACCTTTGTACTATTCCTTGAATTAAGTGGAAATAACCTAATATAATGAGTCGTTATTCTAGTCTGATGGGGAAAAAATAAAAGTGGAGGTATATACACAAAAACTCCCTAGGCGGAGCTCTGCATTTCTTTGACACTGGAGAGTTTTCTTTCCAGAAAACTTTCAGTAAGTTAGTGCACTTTATGAAAGCCCTGAATGCACAGCTTAAAAGCATTGGCTATTTAGCTTTCTCTGTAGATTTCATAGTGGAAAATTGCTAATGCCTTTGGCAGTCCACAACAGACAGTACGAATAATGTTAAAAACAGGTCTGCGTTCACATACACTATAGATAAAGTAAAAGCAAGCTGGCACTTGCTATATGTAATACTTATTGCCAAACACTTTATACTTTGCCTCTGAGTAGTAAGCACAGCTATTCTTGGTCTGCCTCACGTACTCATGTTCACAGGTATTGTGTGAAAATATAGAGTACATACACCTCAGCACTACTGGAATTACGCCATTGGATAAGTGCATTGCCTTGGAGTAACACCAGCAACCACAAGTGTCACGGCTCTGACTCAGAGGCACGGGGAGCCAGCTCAGACCCCCAGGTTTCTCTTTGGGAATAATTAAGGTCTAACCACCTGCAGTTCCTCAAGGAAGTAAGTAGGGAAGCAAAAGCATAAGTCAGAGAGCAGGAGAATCTCATTGCTTGCTACAGCAGTAGTGAGAGGGAAATCAGCTTTTCTGTGGCATTTAAAAACTGAAATACTTTTGTGGAATTCACATGGAGGGGGGCAAAAAAATAATATTTGAAGAAAATGTTAAAAATCAGGAAACTTCCTCTAACTCAAGTGCTAGCATCTACATCACAGAGAAAAAAACAAACAGGTGAATATGTACTGATAATGTTGATGGGAACACAAAGGTCCATTAAGGAAAATTTTGTCTTTAATTTCTCATGTTCAAGCAGGATTTGTGACAGTAGCAGACTGGCAGTCTGAACAGGACACCTTTGTGAGTGCTAGCTTGATGCTTGGCTGTGATCACCAGTCTGGGAACCTGAAACAAAGGGATCTCGTTTACAGAGGAATGGGATAGTTTCATTTCCACCCCATGCAAATTTTCTTCTCCCACCAGAAACCAAGTTGGTGGGGGAAGAAGGTGCAGTCTCCGTACCCAGAGTTGCTAGGGGGGAAGCGCTACATCATCACATGTTGGTGTAATGGCTTCAACCACTGTTAAGAGTTTCATCCATCACTGACCAGTTATAAAGAGGGAAAAAAAATGTGTCTGTTACAAGTTTATGATATTTCATAGAAATACAGTACAAAAGAGACCAAACTCAGTTCACATATTAAACTATAGAGCCAAAAGATTATAATTATCTTAACTAATGACTTCATAAACAAGACACTGTTTATGTTAAAATCTTTCCCTTTATTGAGAAACAAGGCAGATAATATATCAATTTCATCTGTTAATCAAGAGAGTTTTCTATATGAACAGGTAAAACTTATGCACACAATGTCCTACTGTGCCAGACCAAAAGTCCATTTAGCCCTGAAATCCTGCGAAGGGCTATATTTTTCTTCAGCATGGTATTGTGAACAACCTTCAATGCAGTATCAGTTGTGGGATCTCATGTTCAATGTACAGTCATGGAAGAAATCTTAACTAGGCTTTTGAATTTACTTACAGGTTGTTCCTAAAGTTTAAACCAAAAAAATAGCTAGTCAGAAAAAAAAAAAAATCACAAAGCTTCTTATCTGACAAATACAAAGCAATAATAAGTATATCAAGGATTTGTAGTAATGCAAGCTTTTTCCTTTCAGGAAAGAGATAGCTTATTGGTGCTTGACTAAAAAGTACTGATGAAATCATTGAAATTTTTACTTTGGACTATGAATTAGACCATAAAATCTAAAAAAGTTTTAGGTTTTTTTTTTTAGGAATGATGATGCTAATGAGGAAATTCAAAGGGAACATCTTCAGGGCACACCAGTGAGGACTCTTTTCCTTGTCCTGTTCTGCAGTGACTGGAGCTAAGCTGCTGTGCTCTGTGCTGGCAGAGAAGATCTGAGGAGTAGCACTTGCACAGCTAGTTTCATCTAAGTGAGGAGCTAGCACATTCCATTCAGGTATTGGGCCCGTGCCTGCCATTTCCCAGCTGGCAAACCTTTACTTGAGTCTTCAGTTAATTGCAGGAATGAGAACTGCAGAGAGGTACAGAAACCTGAGGGGTCATACCTAGGACAAACATATTAGAAATATTTGTCTAGTGCACTGGTGCCTTATTCAAGTTCAAACTACCCCACCTGGTGAGAGTTGGTAGTTTAATCACAAATGAGGACAAATCATCAGTAAATGTAAGGATCAGCATGAAAGGAGAAAGAAATTGAGAGTACCACATGACTTGGAATGAGCCAAAACAGAACCACAGTCGCTCAGCCACTGCCTCCATCTATGGACTGCTCCAGTAAGTGGTACAGCCCTACCCAGAAATGAACAGAGGACTGCAAATCCCCACGATAGGCAGAAGGATTTTCCTGCCCGTGCAACCATGTAGGGCTGCAGCTGTGCTGACAATTTGTGCCCCAAATTCAGTAAAGGCTAACCTCCTCCCCTCACTTCTGAAAGAGAAATATGCCTGCATGGGCGGCTGATAGCGGCAACGGAAAGGAAATCAAAGCCGAATCCTGACCCCCTGAACAGTACTAAAACGATTCCCCTGTGCTAGAGGAGCAAGGGCTGCCTAATCTTGGAAAGGGATTTGCTGTCTCTGCTCCTGTGCCTCTCCAGATGTGGCTCTGCCAGGGGCTGTTCACGTGGCGGCTCTGTGCGTGGCGCACTGCGATGTCACTTGGGAGCTCTCCCTGCCGATGCCGGCCGGGCTGCCCGCGTGTGGCGGCTGTGTCGCACCGAAGCAGATGGGCAACAGCCAGAGCAAGAAGGGCTGAGTCTTGCTCTGCATCTCATTTTCCTCACAGCAGGTTTCACATTGTTTCTCTCTTACACCTGGTCAGATGCGTGGAATTCCCACTTCTAGTTCTACTGGTGTCAGTCCTGGGGAGCAGCATCTGCGCTGGCAATAAAGAAACGTAAAAAAGGAGCCACTGAGGTTGTTTAGCAGAAAGGAAGAGAATTAATCTTCTAAAAGGAAAAGACTTGGTCTTCCTCTAGCACACTTTTCAGCTGTAGCCTCTATATATTTCATACTGATTTCTTAGAAACCACGTACGCACTGAGGTTGTTGCTGACTTGTTTGCTGGATTATTTGATGTGTTAGTGTCATGCTGCATAAATAGGTCAGTCAGCTGACCTATTGTCAGGTTTGTATTTAGCAGCTCATGTGTCAGCCCATGGTTATTTAATTTCCCTCTAAATTCTCTGAAAGTACAGTCGGAAGGACAACTCTATGTTAAACAGTTAATACACTAAGGTAGGGACTGAACACTGAGGACAATTGATTTTGTGTTCTTAGATGTACTTGTTCACCCCCAGCTGTTGTGCTACCTCATACTCCAACTCCCTTGTCAGTGTACATGTGCAGGCTCTCATTTTGGTTTGTATATTATTAGTAAAATTGTTAAATAGTTTCAATCCATATGTGCAAAATGCACCAGTACAGCCAAAAATCCTAATTTTGTTTACAATTTGGCCATATGCTTCTAAATTTTGATGGCCAGAATATACTGACAATATCAATGATCTCAGCTTCATTATTCAGGCAAACATCTACCACTTCCAACTTTTTTTCTCGTTGTCCTTTAATCTCATTAGCACAGGAGACATTTTCCTATGTGTGATGACTCATATGCTACACTTCTCAAAACTGGCATGTTACATGTAGTTTCCCAAATCAAAATTTGGCTTGTGGAAATACTATTACCATTGTATCTGAAAGAAAAAGCTGGGCTCAGCTCTTAAATCATGACCCACAAAGGATGATCCTTACATCAGTCTGTAAATTGAGTAAACCTGGAAATCTCTTAGAAGTCATAATTACAAAACCCTACCATACAGAGCTAAAGTAAAAGTATCCTTTGGAACAGAGTCTGAAATAAATAGTCTCTAAACTGGAAAATAACAAACCCCTGCAGGTCTGAATAAGAAGGTGAGATAATTATGTGGAGCTGCTATGGATTCTGTCTTTTAAAAGCTCAGAGAACTAAGTATGGTTCAGAACAACCATGGAAGAAGATCTCTTAAGGAAAGCATATCTTCAACGCTGTCACTTTTCCAACTGTAAATTAGAAATACTAATGCCTGGAAAAAGAGCATATGTTGTTGTTCAGATGGAGACTTCCTATCTATAAGAAGTGTAATACTCTCTGAGGCAGGGAGGGAAAGTGGAGGAGAGGACCATCCAGAGAAATTCTGATCACTGTAGGGCTTAGGAGAAAAAGTCTCCAAGTATCAGTAATAACCAGGGAGCAAGTGATGTAGAATACAGAAAAAAAAAAAAATTGTCACAACAGCTTACTGTGTCTATAGGGGAAAATTCAAATAGTACGTAGAACAAGATTATACACGTCAGATCAATTAACTAACAACTAATTTTTGGCCTGCTTTTAAGTCAAAACTTCCCAGCTTATTTGATATCACAATTAATTTCTGAGATGCTAGAATTTCATTATGGTTCATCTAAAAATTCCAGGGTATTTACAATTCCTAAATAATCGATTGTTGCAGATAAGAATAAAAAATTATTTTACAGTTTTTATCCAACAACAAGAGCTTATGCAGCTTTGCAGTGCAGTATTGAGCAAAATTGCTTTAATAACTAATAGAGAACTCCTGTTTTAATTGTTTTAATTAACTGGTTTATGTAGTTCAGTGCTAAAGGAATTCATACAAATTTACAGAAAGTAACGTGGCCTGTAGACTTGTAAAATTAAGCACAAATCAATTAATGAAAGGCAAAGATAGGCATATACTCAATATTTTTCAAGACTTTGGCCAAGGCTGACCATCATGAATTGCCTAACAAAACACTTATGCTGCTTGAAGTTGTTTTCTGGTGCCACATAGCTGTTGAGAGGTTTTTGACTATTTAAAAAGAAAAGATGTCTTAATTATAACAGCTTACCTATTACATTAAAGGAAAACATAATTTAAAGCTTAGCAAATGTCAAGAAGCTGTGAATTTAATGTGGGTAGGAAGTGACAGAGTTAAAGCTAGAGACAGAGTGTGCCAGGAAGGACAAAACTTTCCTTCTTTTGAACAAGCAGGTATTAATACAGTCAGATGATATGGTCAACCTGATGGATGAGCAGTCAACCCAACATCGCAGATCATGAGTTCCCTTCAAAATGATATTGTAGGGGAAAAATCCTAATTTGTTCAACTTGTATTTCAGAGCTCAAAAAATAAAATAGTTACACTTCCTTTTGTGAAGACCCACTCTGATATATTGCATTTGAACAAATGCTCAAAACCAACTTGCAGATCCTTGCAAGCGTAAATCTAATTGATAATGGCAATAGATGTTAAATAGTGTAATTCCACTGAGTTATAATACATCAGATAACAACTGATTGATATGGCAGAAGCTGTTAATTTACTATTTACTGCAGAAAAATATAGCTTCTCTCCATAGTTACAGTATTTCTTACTGTAGTCTCTATGAAATCGGTTTTATTTTTCTGAGTTGTGCACTTAAAATGAAAGTACAATAAATGTAAGTATTAAATATCTAACTGGAGAGTTGGAGCCACTTCCATTTAATGTTTTATTATCTATTTGTGTTACATTTTCAGGGTATGCCCGTGGTATTTTGTGGAGTGATGTAAGCCTGTTGTGCCTGCTCTGCCTCTCTTGGATCAGAGCCACAGTATGATGGCCCTAGGAGAGCTCACTCCATTTGCATGGCCTTAGGAGAGCTAATTCCTTTTATGTGGGTTCGTGGCTTTTCTCTGGCTCAGAAAAAGCTCAGATATGCCTGAAATATACCGTGGTGACATACCCTACACCATCCTCTTCACACCACAGACCTAACTCTTGTGGGACAGTCATTACACCCGATTAAAAGAATCTGCTAAAACACTGGAACCCCATCCTTGCAATAAGAGGAGCAATGAGAAAAATAACAATGTGGAAATCCAAACACCTTTTAAAAGAATGTTATGCAGTCACATGTAATATACTCGACCAATGTTACTTATAAATAGTAAATACAGTCTCAGCAAACAGATAGCTGCGTTCATGAAAAAGCTGCTTTCCGGCCTATATACAATTTACCTTCCTTCCTTACCTTAACTTCAAAGTAGCTTTTTGTCTTTTGTGACAGAGCTACCACAGTTTTTATGTTCATCTTTGTAATGCAAGGCACTCTCACTTGTAGTAGCCTTCTTCAGGTTCTGGGTATGACTGACAGCAAAACCCTCAGTGTTAGTTCCTCATCAGCCAAAACCAGTCTCTTTCAAAAAATGACCTGTAAATGTGCTGGCTTACTCTGCAAAACAATCATCTGGCTGGCTGGCTGGCAGTGCAGGTGTTTAAGCGTAAGGGCTTCCTGTGGTTTAGGATTTGACAGACTCCCGTTGGTGCCCCTAGTTATTTGACAGTGATGTGGCAACACTAAGTGGTTGCTGATGAACAGGTTGCAGTGATCATGCCTCTGTTTTCTGTTTTTGTTTTTTTGTTTTTATCTTTTCCTCAGGGGAAATCGCTCACATCAAAGAGGTTAACCAGTCTAGTGCAGTCCTACTAAAAGGATCACCTTGTAGCATGGAAGCAGACTCAAATCATTATACATACTTTGTAGCTCACTGATTGCCTGACTCAGAGGACAGTAGAACAAGATGTTGCATGAGCAAGGACCTGACTTGTTTTCTTTTGTGTATACTAAGGCATTACAGACTCCGAGGGACTCTCTAGCCTTTCGATGCCTCCATTTCGAAAACTGTCTGCTCACTTCCTCCTTCATATCAAGCTGGATCTGTGTCTTTTTATTTTCTGCAAGCTCAAGTACAGTGAAAAAAAAGCTTCTGCTAGGCACAGTTTATTAAAAAAAAATACGTCAATCAAAAACTGGAAGAAATGTAAAAAATGCATATATTAATAAATATACGTGTGGCATCACATTTATTGCACAATAAATTAGCACAGAAGGTTTCATTTCACTGATGTATTCACATTGAGAAAGAAAGCCTGTGTCTTTGTCTGTTGTCTGTATATTCTCTGTTAATGTTTCTTGCATTTATTTTTATACCATATTTAAAAAAGAACACCTTTTACTCCAGATGTATTAAAGTTGATCCTTTCTCTGTAAATTTGTGTATGTTTATATTGTTGTTTTATCTTTCATTAAAAGATGCAGAATCTCTTTCCTTTGGGAAGTTTGAGATTTTAATATCGAATCTGAAGATTAGTAAAGAGCAAAATCATCCCCAAAAGTTACACACCTTGTGCTTTCTAAAAAGTGACATGAAATGGCATTTTCTTTCTCTCAGTGACACCTAATCAAACACACTTTATTGATAATCATTTACTCTTTTATTTTCTTTTTATCAAGCTAGCAGCAGAGAGACCTTCCCAGCTTGCTCATCATCACATAAGCAAACCTTTCCTCAAGCTAGACCCCGTTCTGTGGCAGTGGAGCCTGCACAGCAGTTCAGTCGTTACCCACGACCGGATCGACTGAACTGCGTTTCCTCAGGAACGGGCATGAGCAAAGCTGGCTGAGAAGTGTATACTTGCTAAATAAGAAGGACAGTGTTTCTTTCTCCTCGCTGTCGCTTGTGATACAAGGCAACATTTTAAGTTGAAGAGGTATTGGTTTGACCATTTTAAGCTGAAAAGGTAGTGTTTTGGGAGTGCTAAGTGTGCTGTCTGTAGAGCAAACCTTAGGTAGTAATGCAGGAGGCTGTCATTTTAATTCAAGGGCTCTATTCAGGGGTGCTGTTGTACATCTAGTGCTGATCTTACTCACACAGAGACCTATTGACAGGTTTGTGAGATCATGTAGATGTTGCTCATGAGACAGCAGATATGGAGCTTCTGATGGTAAACTGAGCTGGAACCGGAAATCTCTGCTTGGCCTAAGAAATAGCAATTTTGACTGATAGAGGTGACGTAAGGACAGTAGGCAGAATCTCTGAGTAGGAAAGCAATGGTGGGAACTAAGTCAAATGACAAAATGCTGATACCTTCAGGGCATTGTAGGGTGCACAGGACAAGCAAGCCTTTTTAGTAATGCACAGGATAGACTCAGGGCAGCCAGCTCTAGTACCATCTGTTACACTGACTTTGGTTTGATATTGAGAAACAGACGCCTTTTTTTTCAAAGGGACTACCAAACCTAAAAATGCACACCCTTCCCACACATACACATGAAGTGAGAGAGTCATAAACACAATCAGACTATCAAGTTGCATACATTAATGCCAGAGCCATCTCACTGAACACTGGATACCTACCGGCGTTGCTGCCACTAGGGAGAGGGCTCCTGCACAAAGCAGCTGTGGGTGGAAGGGTCCGAGCTGCCTTCTGCAGAGAGCGTTCGATTCTCCACTGGCTCTGTCAGCCACCTGCTGCGGCCGTAGCCCTGGCTGCAGCATCTCTGAAAAGGCAGTCTCAATGAACCTAGGACAAAACTCATTATCAATCACCATGAATGGCTGCTCTTCAGGTTCTACTCAGTTAACGTTTCTGGAGGTTTGGGATTTTTGTTTGTTCTTTGTTTTCACATGCCACTGTGTTTCTGGTTTCTAGCTAGGATGATAATCACTACATACAAGTGTCTCTGTTTTTGTTAGCACAATTCTACTAAGCTTTTATTAGAAAACACTGGAAATGCCCCATGAGAGCTTGATTTTATCAAGAGCTCCATTTAGGTCAACTCAAAATACCCACAGTCTAGGGAGGCCAGATGAATGTTAATAAATAGCTGCACTGAACCCCAGATCTTAAACTCTGATATTTAATTTTCCTTTACCACAGAAATGTGAGCTTTGAGGCATGAACTTGGGGCTAGGCAATCCACAGAAATTTGAGCTCTGTTTTAATTCTCAGTGCCAAAAAAAGATACTTATTTCCAAACTCCCGCTGCCACCAATTGCATCAGTTGGTATATTGCCTGCTTTGCCTTAGCAGTTAACTAATTAGATACCAATGTCTGCTTTTAAAAAAAACTTCCTTCAAATAACTAATGTTCCAAATTCTTGCCATTAGGTATTTCATGCAACTTTAAGAGATAATTATTTGTTCTCCAAATCACTTTGCAACACCAACTGACCAATAAAAAGATGTGGAGCATTTGTGTTCCTTAGCCCATTTTGTACTTATTTTAGTTCTTTCCTTTCAATAAATATGAATTCTCTGTTAAATGGCTGTCTTTCCCTGTATTTGCACAGGATTTAACACAATGTCTGTAAAGTAAAAGTGTGCATTACTAACAAGGATTTCAAAGCAGTCAGGGAGTCAAGCTGTATTGTTTCATTTGAGTTTAGTTTCAAGTGATGCAACTCCACTGTTAAATGAGTGAATTTGGCCCAGACAAAATCTGTCCTACAATCAGTTGATTTTTAAAGTGCTCATCTGCAATCTTTTGGTACTTCATGTGATCACCGTCATCTGCCAGTGATACAATACTGGGACTGGGGACTCCATATAGGCACAAACTTCCTTTTACTTCCCAACAGAAAAAAAAAAAAAAACAACTAAATGTTCATTTCCAAATTTCTACGAAGATCTACTCCCAAGGATTAAGATTAACTCACATTGAGGTATACTTGCACAACCACCAAACAAGTAAAGTATAACTTTGGTTACACAATGATATACCGGTTAGGAATTTCAGTGAGGCCATGAGTCTTCTGAGGAAAAAAGGACTGAGACAGAAAAACGACGTGAAGGGACTATTTTTCTTGTTTCCTGGGAAAGAACCATCAATCAGTGCTTCCTGGCTCTGCCTAGGAAGTTGAAAACACCTTCCTTTGGGGGATATTAATTGTAATATTCATTAAAATAGTGAATGTTTTCAATATTTTCACTTGGAGCTGGGAACTTGCATCTGATATTCATCAGGCAGTCTCTTTCTTCATGCATCCTTGTACATAATGCAGTTCTTAAGCCTACAGGGGAAGGAAGTGTTTGCTGGTGCTGCAGCACCCTTGAGACAGTTTTGTGCTCGAAGACCAGCCTGGGAAAGAAAATGGCCAGTGGGAGAGACAGGAGCTTCCCTTGAACCTACCTGACAACAGCAATCAAAAACTGTTCTGCAGTCCTACAAAACTGAAGAGTGAGGGAAAAGGCTTTGAAGAGTGATGAGAGAAACTGCAAAATGCTGAGCTGAAGCAGTAGTGGAGACGGGGCAGAAATTAATGAGCTGAAGGTGAATACAGGAGTAAGAAATGTGAATTAATTGTGGTGACCAGCACAGAACTGACAAGGGAGGAAAACTGGGGAAATGAGTAATTAAGAGGAAGAGAGTATGAATATGGCTGGTGCATTGCCAGCCATGCAGAGTTGGAATCAAAACTCCCTCAAAATCAGACAAGATCAAGTGTGGCTGTTCCTTTAAAACTCAAGAATGACATTTTTGCCAATGACAGGAAAGGCTGTTTTCTTTAACTGGAAGTTCAAGTAATTGGAATGAAGAGTTGTGAATGACCAGTGATTTTTTTGTGACTCTTCCAATTATTTATCTTTATGCCAAATGATTAATAGTTGCTTCAATTTGGATTTTAAAATTGCCATGTTTTTAACGTTCTTTCTAGATGGAGATGTTGTGCACAGAACTAACGCTGTCCTTACTAACTTACATACATAAAACAAAAGGATTTTGATAAAAGAAAATTAATAGCTAGAGGGACCTACATAAAATAAGGGTTTAATCCAAAGATGTTCAAGAGAAATTGTCAACAATTTCTTTGAACATTTTCTGTGTCCACAGGTCATTTAAACAAGTTACTAAGTGGTTGTGAATCAGTCCAATCTGCCGTTTGATCTGACTCTGCTGAACAGATGAATGCTTTTGTCTCCTGTAAGTTAAAGAGAGGCTGAAGTCCCAATATCAAAGAGGCAGAGGGGAAGAGAGGATGATCTCTCTGAGGCAGGGTTCGCCCTCCTCATGCTGTTCCAAACTGTGGAGTCCTCAGGTAGCATGTTTACAAATAAATGGATTTTGTTTGTACAGACATTGGCTTGAGGGCTGCAGAGTTTCTCCAAATGGTCATCATCTCTGCCCCTATAAAGTTTTTCCTAATACCTAAACTAAATCATCTTTGCATCAATTTATTTCTTTATTTTTGACCAGGCTGCTACAATCATGATAATAAAACATTCCCTGCCTTTTTGCTCAAATATGAAAATGGCCATTGCAATGTTACAGCCTCATTTGTTTTTCTTACTGGTGTTTTCTGAAGTGTTGAGTGACCTCATTGCTCTCCACTAGGTTGGGGGGCATTACAGCTTTCTTGGAGGACAGTGCCCAGAGTAGGCTGCAGGGTTCCCATCCAGGTTTACAGGAGGAGGGCAAAGGATTGCCGTGTACTTCTGGCTGTTGTACACAACTATGGGGCTTGCCCTTTTTGCAGTAGATGGTCACTACTGAACTGTGCCAGCTTATGTCGCATAGCGAAGTGCTGGGGTCTGAGCCCTGAATTAAAGCTGACATATGGATGATTCTCACGACGAGACAAAGGATTTTTCTATAGCAGAGAAACCTTCCTTTTGGTTTTCACTCAAGGCTTGGCCAACTTTGGGTGAAAACCTATTAGGAGGACAACACCAGGTGTCCTGCCTTTCAAGTTAATTCAAACAGTTAACTCAACCGTAAGAGCTGGTTCTGCTTGCAGGGAGCTTGGGAAGTCTGTTTCTGTGTGGATGTATGATGTGGGGCTTCCTTCTTAGTGGAAGGGCTCCCTGACTGTCTGCTGCAACTGGACTTCCCAGCAACAGTGGGACAGGACCAGGAATTGGACAGAACAAGGGTAATGTAACTGACAATATATGGAGACTATAGAGACTTTTGTGTGTCTATGATTGGACTTTTGATTTGGCTTATTCCTTTCTCAGTTACTGGATTCCTGGCTTGGCTTGCTCCTTCCTCTGCTGTACCATCTACTATGAGAGGATGTATTGCTCTGTTTGTTTCCCCTGCTGTTAACCATGTTATACTCTTTCTGTACTTGCTGGAGTTAGCTAGTAAACTCTGTACACTCTGAGAGCCATATCGTTTATGCTGGGCTGTGTAATTGGCAAAACACATTGTGGTGCCCCAATCCTCTGCAGTAAAATGTAGATGACTGTTCCCCTCTGTGTGTAGCTGACTCTTCTTGGGTCAGTGTGGTGTCTTCAGTTGTCCATTGATAAGCATCCTTG